AAGCTATACGTTTGATATTCAAGAGGTAGCACAACACAACAGTTAAGAACTATGGTTTTGCAACCTACGTCTGAATCTCTGCTGTCACTTGCTGTGGGGCCATGGGCAAGTTATTTAACGTCTCAGTGCCTTCATTTCCTCATCTGTTTAAAATGGTGATATGGTTTGGCTGTGCCCTCACCCAAATCTCATCTTGAATTGTACTCCCATAATTCCCACAGATTGTAGGAAGGACCCGGGAAGAGATAATTGAATCATGGAGCGGTTCCCCCATACTGTTCTCATGGTAGTGAACAGGTCTCATAAGATCTGATGGTTTTATCAGGGGTTTCTGCTTTTGCATCTTCCTCATTCTCTCTTTGCCTGCTGTCATCCATGTAAGACAGGACTTGTCCCTCCTTGCCTTCCACCATGACTGTGAGGCTTCCCCAGCCACGTGGAACTGTCAGCCTAATTAAGCCTCTTCCTTTTGTAAATTGCCCAGTCTTGGGTATGTCCTTATCAGCAGTATGAAAATGGACTAATTTAGTAAATTAGTACTAGCAGAGTGAGGCATTGCTGAAAAGATACCCGAAAATGTGGAAGCAACCTTAAAATCGGGTAACAGGCAGAAGTTGGAACAGTTTGAAGGGCTCAGAAGAAGACAGGAAAATGTGGGAAAGTCTGGAACTTCCTAGAGATTTGTCGCATGGCTTTGCCCAAAATGCTGATAGTCATATGGACAATAAGGTCCAGGCTGAGGTGGTCTGAGATGGAGATGAGGAACTTGTTGCGAACTGGAGCAAAGGTGACTCTTGTTATGTTTTAGCAAAGAGACTGATGGCATTTTGCCCCTGCCCTAGAGATTTGTGGAACATTGAACTTGAGGGAGATGATTTAGGGTATCTGGCAGGAGAAATTTCTAAGCAGCAAAGCATTCAAGAGGTTACTTGGGTGCTCTTAAAAGCATTCAGTTTTAAAAGGGAAACAGAGCATAAAAGTTTGAAAAATTTGCAGCCTGACAATGCAATAGAAAATAAAATTCCATTTTCTGAGGAGAAATTCAAGCCAGCTGCAGAAATTTGCATAAGTAACAAGAAGCCAAATGTTAATCCTCAAGACAATGGGGAAAATGTCTCCAGGGCATGTCAGAAGTCTTCAAGGCAGCCCCTCCCATCAAGGCCCGGAGGCCTAGAGGAAAAAGGAGTTTCGCTGGCTAGGCCCAGGGTCCCTGAGCTGTGTGCGGCCTAGAGACTTGATGCCTGGCATCCTAACCACTCCAGCCATGGCTGAAAGGGGCCAACATAGGGCTCAGGCCATGGCATCAGATGGTACAAGCCCCAAGCCTTGGCAGCTTCCATGTGGTGTTGAGCCTGCAGGTGCACAGAAGTCAAGAATTGGGAACCTCCGCCTAGATTTCAGATGTATGGAAACACCTGGATGCCCAGGCAGAAGTTTGCTGCAGGGGCAGAGCCCTCATGGAGAACCTCTGCTAGGGCAGTGTGGAAGGGAAATGCGGGGTCAAAGCCCCCACACAGAGTTCCTACTGGGGCACCGCCTAGTGGCATTGTGAGAAAAGGGCCACTGTCCTCCAGACCCCAGAATGGTAGATCCATTGACACCTTACACTGTGTGCCTGGAAAAGTCACAGACACTCAAGGCCAACCTGTGAAAGCAGCCAGGAGGGAGGCTGTACCCTGCAAAGCCACAGGGGCAGAGCTACCCAAGACTATGGGAACCCATCTCTTGCATCAGCATGTCCTGGATGTGAGACATGGAGTCAAAGGAGACCATTTTGGAGCTTTAAGATTTGACTGCCCTGCTGGATTTCAGACTTGCATGGACCCTGTAGCCCCTTTGTTCTGGCCAATTTCTTCCATTTGGGACAGCTGTATTTACCCAATGTCTGTACCCCCATTGTATCTAGGAAATAACTAGCTTGCTTTCGATTTTACAGGCTCATAGGACTTGCCTTGTCTCAGATGAGACTTTGGACTGTGGACTTTTGAGTTAATGCTGAAATGAGTTAAGACTTTGGGGGACTGTTAGGAATGCATAATTGGTTTTGAAATGTAAAGATACAAGATTTGGGAGGGGCCGGGGCAGAATAATGTGGTTTGGCTGTGTCCCCACCCAAATCTCCTCTTGAATTATACTCCCATAATTCCCACATGTTGTGGGAGGGACCAGGGTGAAACAACTGAATCATGGAGGTGGTTTCCCCCATACCGTTCTCATGGTAGTGAATAAGTTTCACGAGATCTGATGGTTTTATCAGGGATTTCTGCTTTTGCATCTTCCTCATTCTCTTTGCCTGCTGCCATCCACGTAAGATGTGACTTGCTCTTCCTTCCCTTCCACCGTGATTGTGAGTGAGGCTTCCCTAGCCACCTGGAACTGTAAGTCCAATTAAACCTCTTCCTTTTGTAAACTGCCCCAGTCTCAGGTATGTCTTTATCAGCAGCATGAAAATGGACTAATACAAATGGGTACCTACAACAGTACTTACTTCACTGGGATTTTCTGTTAATTAAATGTGACAATACATGTAAAGGAAAGAACATTTCCTGACATTATCTTGGTAAGCACTCAACAGATGATGGCTATAAGCTTTTCCAACACACAAAGTTTTGCTATGCTCTGAACCCTTATGGTAACAACTGTCTACATTATTCCCTTGTCACTCAATATGTGGCTTTATATTACTATTAAAACTTCACAGAATGGACACACACCTGTAATCCCAGCACTTTGGGAAGCTGAGGGCAGAGGATTGCTTGAACCCAGGAGTTAAGACCCCATCTCTACAAAAAGATTTTTAAAAATTAGCCAGTGCAGTGGTGCTTGCCTGTAGTCCTAGCAACTCGAGAGGCTGAGGCAAGTGGATCCCTTGAGCCCAGGAGGTTGAGGCTGCAGTGAGTCATGATCATGCTACTTCATTCCAGCCTGGGCAACAGAGCAAGACCCTACCTCAAAAAATAAAAAAATAAAATAGGCTGGGCACAGTGGCTCATGCCTGTAATTGCAGCACTTTGGGAGGCCAAGGTGGGTGGATCACCTGAGATTAGGAGCTCAGGACCAGCCTGGCCAACTTGATGAAACCGTATCTCTACCAAAAATACAAAAATCAGCCAGGTGTGATGGCATTCACCTGTAAACCCAGCTACTTGGGAGGCTAGGGCAGCAGAATCACTTGAACCCAGGAGGCAGAGGGTGCAGTGAGCCGAGATCGCACCACCGCACTCCAGTCTGGGCGACAGAGCAAGACTCTGTCTCAAAAAAATAAATAAATAAAATGAAACAAAACGTTATCATGCTACTTTATTTCCCTCTGCAACAAAACTACAAATCCTTTTCTGTTTCTTCATCGTTAATAATAATTATCATGAGGCCGGGCGCAGTGGCTCAAGCCTGTAATCCCAGCACCTTGGGAGGCCAAGGCGGGTGGATCACCTGAGGTCAGCAGTTCAAGGCCAGTCTGGTCAATTTGGTGAAACCCCGTCTCTACTAAAAAATACAAAAGAGTAGCCAGGCATGGTGGTGGGCGCCTGTAATTCCAGTGACTCAGGAGGCTGAGGCACAAGAATCATTTGAACCCAGGAGACAGAGGTTGCAGTGAGCCGAGATGGCACCACTGCACTCTAGCCTGGGCAACACAGAGAGACTCCATCTCAAATAAATAAATAATTATCATTTACTGAAAGCCCATCATGTGCCAAAATATATATTACTTAATTCTCTAGCATTCCAACAATTTTATTCAGTTTATGGAAGAGAAAACAGACTGAGAAAAGTTAAGTAATTCACCTAAGGTTATACAGCTAACAAAACGGCCAATTCAGAATTCAAGCCCATAGTTTTAATCATTTAAGCTACACTGCCTCACAGCACTTAGCTCTAAACTCATGCACACAGAAATACACTAATACTGTGGTCCTAATATGAGAAATAATTTTGCTTTTCCATTGCATATTAATTACTTATATTTATTATCTATTTTAGCACTCAACCCACTACAATCTAGCTTAGTCTTCCAATACTCCACTCAATTTGCTTTGACAGGCTTTCAATATCCTTTTAGTTATCAAATCCATTACTTCTCCTGCCACTCATTCTTTCTGTGTAATTTCATTCTTAGCATCTACCATCGGCTACACACCTATGCCTTCCAAATCCTTTCTATACCAAGTTCTAAATCCAAATAATCAGCTGCCTGCTCCCCAGTGAGCTCCATTTGTGTTCTCACAGGAACCTCGAACTCACTGGTTCCAACCCTAGACTCTCCTCATGTACTTTTTATTTGGGTGAAAAACACCATCTTCCAGTCTCTCACACCAGAAATCTAGGAATAATCTTTGACTTCTCCCACACCTACCATATCTGGTCAGGCATAAAGTCCTTAGCATTCCCATGACCTCCCGCTTCTTTTCTGCTACTTCTCTAGTCCAGGCCCTCATTATCGTTTAACCTGATGACCACAACCGTTGCAGTCATGTGCAAGTCAGGCTGGTGTTCCTGCCTAGTCTTGTTCTACTACAATTTATTCAGACTGCTGCCAAAGTTGATTTCATTTCAAAAAAATATTCAATGAGCACCCATTATGTACTCCCATACATACGTAGGTACTAGGGCTACCAGGGAAAATAAGCCACCAATGCCTACTCTCGATGAGTTTACAGTTGAGTGGGCATGGCATTCAGTAAATGTTACACTAGGGATCAGGACCAGACACTGTAGGGACCCAAAATACAGCCCCTAAATTGGTCTCCGGAATCAGGGAACAATTTCTAGAAAAGATGGTATCTAACCTGAAGTCCTAATGGATAAGCAGGAGTTAATTTGGGAGAATGAAGAAAGAACAGAGGAGAGAGGAAGTTCAATTTGGTGCCGTTAGTGGAAAGAGCAAGTGGTTCCAATAGTAGGGCTGTGCAGTTTGAGGGGCAAAAGCAAACAAGACAGAAATTACTGGGGAAGAAAGAAATCCTGTCTCACTGATGCCCTTGGAGGTACTAAGTACTTACCGTTCAATCTCCTTTTCATTCCCCTCTCTGCGAAATCGCTCAATATACTCTTTGCTATGTTGTTCTTGTGTGTGACACTGCTCTTCAAATATTTTAATTGTTTCATTAAAAGCTTCTATTGCAGTCCTCTTCATCTGTATTTCCTACAAGAGAGACAAAGAAAAAACACAGGCTTCATTCTTTATTATTTTCTTCTAACCTTGGTCTTAAATTTTATAATTCTAGTTATTAATGTAATCCCATATAACACCTAGTCTTTCAAAAGTCTTTCCCCTTGTTTAGGAGGACTAAATCAAGAGCTTTTATTCAACCCCTACTCTATTACCTATATGTAAAATACATCATTTAAACTATAAAATAGGCCAGGCATGGTGGCTTACACCTGTGATCCCAGCACTTTGGGAAGCTGAGGCAGGCAGATCACTTGAGGTCAGGAGTTCAAGACACCCGGGCCAACATAGCAAAACCCTGTCTCTACTAAAAGTACAAAAATTAGCCAGGCGTGGTGGCGGGTGCCTGTAATCCCAACTACTCAGGAGGCCGAGGCAGGAGAATCGCTTGAACCCAGGAGGCAGAGGTTGCAGTGAGCCAAGATCACGCCACTGCACTCCAACCCGGGTGACAGAACAAGATTCCATGTAAAAAATAAAAAATTTTAAAATTTTAAAAAACTATAAATAAATGAAAAAGAACCATTATGTGAAATATATCGCTAAGAACCACAGAAAGGTCTCTGAGCTGCCAAGAGAGATTAACCCTGAACACCTTGAAGACAACGACCAAATTCTGATTTTGCACCTATTATAGTGCTATTCCCCAAAAGGTGCTGAAAGAGTGAATGGATAGAGCTAAAGAGTCCATGCACCAAAGCACAAAGACTTACTCCCAGAAGAGTCTTATAAAGTCTATTTATTCTTACTCTCATTTCTCAAGTATGTGCTTAGTTTTCCAAACAGATTCATCAGTAGATTAATCCGATTACAAGAAAATGAAAAGGGGAAAAATAGCTGCTAAAGTCCAATGCACTTAAGAATAATAAGATGATCATGCCTGTAATCCCAGCACTTTGGGAGGCCAAGGTGGGCAGATCACGAGGTCAGGAGTTCGAGACCAGCTTGACCAACATGGTGAAACCCCGTCTCTACTAAAAATACAAAAATTAGCCAGGCATGGTGGCGCACGCCTGTAATCCCAGCTACTCAGGAGGCTGAGGCAAGAGAATCGTTTGAACCCGGGAGGCAGCAGTTGCAGTGAGCTGAGATTGTGCCACTGCATTCCAGCCTTGGCAACAGAGCAAGACTTTGTCTCAAAAAAAACAAAAACAAAAAAAAACATCTGAATCACGATTCCCCGAAAATCTTCAGAAGGTTAAATTTTGTTCAGTTTGTTTTTTAGAAAAGCAATAAATACGCCTAAGGGTCTAGAAAAACTGCTATCCTGAATGTTTATAATTCTAGAAGTTTTGATGCTTATGGGATAATTCCTACATTGTCTAGCACTTATTAGGCTGGGGTGGGTTTTGGTTTTGGTTTTGCTGGTGGGTGGGCGGGTGGGTTAGTGTTTTTAAAACTGTTGCCTAAGCTGGACTTGAAATCCTGGCTTAAGGGATCATTCCACCTCAGTTTCCCAACCAGTTGAGACTTTAGGAGGGCACCACACACCCAGTTTAAGCATTTGTCATTTTCAACAATTGATTATTGAGAATCCACTACACAGAAATTACCATCTGGTGATAGAGATTTGTGAAACATGAAGCCTGCCCTCTAAGACTCAGAATATACAGGTGGAATAGATTTCTGAACTCTAATAAGGTTTGGTTTCATGTCATGGAAGAGGCAACCAAGTGATATTAACTAATTATTTATTGCTTTACAGAGACTTCACAGAGGAGGTGACACTTAAGCTAGGTCTTAAAGAACTGATATAGAGGAAGAAAATGCAGCACTGCACAAAGGAGGCATGGTATAATGTATACATAAAATAACAAGGCATGTTCAAGGATTAGTAATTGCCCAGTAGGGCTAGAACATTAGAGGATTAGCAGATGAGGGAGGCTGGAACCTTGTGATAGTCCATACAGTTGAGATTACATCATATGTATCTTAATATTAAAAACTAACTAGAATGCCCATATGCCAAATATCTTGGTACTAATTCTACAACTCTTAAATTATAGTGGATAGCCTTAGCTCCCTTGCAAGGTTAGAAATTACCTATCAAGTTCTGGCCCTGGATCTTCAAAGAAAACACTAACAATTTAGATTTTATTAACACTGGTATATATATCGGTAAGTAGAACAGCAAAGGGAAAAGTATTTGATATCACTACTAAGTCAGCACCCCCCCTCATAAACAATGCCACTATACCACTACACCTGCCACCAAAACTATAAACCTACCTGTTCACCTCTTCTCTCCCTTCCTCTCCCTTTATTTACATGTGCTCTAGGTCTCAGCTCCCTTTCCTTTCTGGGTCCTTCACTCTATCGTATCAGCTAGCCCCTTTTACATTATTAACTCTCCCAGTCTAATGATTCCTTCTTAGCAGCATATAAGCAAGTTCTGGTAACAACACTTTGAAAAAAAAGCACTCTTATTCCAAAATTCTCTTCAAATCACAGATAAGCTTCTTAAAGAGTTGTTTATGGCTTTGTTTGTGGCTGGGCATGGTGGCTCATGCCTGTAATCCCAGCACTGTGGGAGGCTGAGTCAGGTCGATCGCTTGAGGTCAGGGGTTCAAGACCAGTCTGACCAACATGGCAAAACCCCTCTCTACTTAAAAAATAAGTAAGTAAAATAAAAAATAAAAATAAAAAAAGAGCTGGCCGGGCACAGTGGCTCACGCCTGTAATCCCAGCACTTTGGGAGGCTGAGATGAGCAAATCACCTGAGGTCAGGAGTTTGATACCAGCCTGGCCAACATGGTGAAAACCTGTCTCTACTAAAAATACAAAAATTTGCCAGGCATGGTGGTGGACACCTGTAATCACAGCTATTCGGGAGGCTGAGGCAGGAGAATTGCTTGAACCCGGGAGGCGGAGGTTGCAGTGAGCTGAGATGGAGCCACTTCACTCCAGCCTGGGGGACAGGGCAAGATTCTGTCTCATAAAAACATCAATAATAAAATAAAATCTAGGTCAATAAATGTCAAAAGAATATAACTTTAATGAACATATTTACTAACAACAAAATTAATTTAAATTAGAAATAAATAATATATTTGAAAGTCCCAAATATTTAAAAATTAAAAACACAAGGGGCGAAAGAAGAAATCACAAAAAAAGAGAAAATATTAAAAACTGAATAACAGGGAAAACAGAGTATGACAAAATTTGTGAGATGCATATACGCAGTGCTTAGAGGAAAATGTATTGCTTTAACTGCTTATTTTAGAAAAGAAAGTTTTTTTGTTTTTTTTTTTTTGAGATGGAGTCTTGCTCTGTCACCCAGGCTGCAGTGCAGTGGCCAGATCTCAGCTCGCTGCAAGCTCCGCCTCTCGGGTTCACGCCATTCTCCTGCCTCAGCCTCCCGAGTAGCTGGGACTACAGGCGCCCGGCACCACGCCCGGCTAATTTTTTGTATTTTTTAGTAGAGACAGGGTTTCACCGTGTTAGCCAGGATGGTCTCGATCTCCTGACCTCGTGATCTGCCTGTCTCGGCCTCCCAAAGTGCTGGGATTACAGGCTTGAGCCACCGCGCCCGGCCAGAAAAGAAAGTTTTTAAACGAATGAACAAAATTTCCACCTTAAGAAGTAGGAAAAGAGAAAATTAAACTGAAAAACAGCAGAAAAAAATTAAAAAGAGCAGAAATTCATGAAATAGAAAGTAAACACTAAAAAAATCCATTATTGTTATCTACTAGAAAGAGCCCAGGGTAAGCTACTGTTGCACTAAGAATTCACTAGGAATTAAGTAGAATCAACATGGACTAATGCTTCTATAAATCATTTGATATTCAAAGTAATAACTTGTGTTCCAAGAGAATGTACATGAGAAATACAGTTAAATATATTTTCCTAAGCCACTTCCTACCCAAATATTATAAAAAGTAAACTTCTCTGAAGATACCCAGCTTCATCAAAATTCCAAACACTTTTGACAAACTATGTGACAACTTAGGGCAAATTAAACCAAGTCTAGCTAAAAAAGGATCAAAGTAGTCAGGCATAAGAAGTCCAAGGAAAGAAACTAGATTATTCTATAGAATTTTGCTCTACATCATAAATATGAAAAGTAAGTATTACTGGTTATTAAAGTTAATGATCTAAAAACTGTGTAGTTAGGTCTACTAGTAAGCCCACAATTTCCATCCATCAGCTCCTTCTTCCTCAGTAAATCCCCACGTTAGTTGAGCACACCTGACCAAATAAAAACTAGATTTCTCAGCCTCCCCTACAGCTAGCAGTGACCTGTAGCTAGGTATGACCATGCGTCTTAGTTCTAGCCAGTGGGATAAAAGTGAAAGCAGAGTGTGCTCCTTCTAGGAAGTTGTCTCAAAGATAGAGAACCTTCCTTTCTCCTTCCTATTCTTCATTCCTGTTTACTAGAATATGGTTGTGACCGCCAATATTAGAGTAAGCCCTCTTCCACAGATAGCCAAGCATCAAGACAGAAAATGCCTGTAAGTTCTGAGGACAGTGGAGTTACCCTAACACCCCTGTAGCTCCTATATACACATGAAAGAAAACTAAATTTCTATCTGAAGCCTTTGTTATTTTTTTTGTCACTTGTGACCAGTTAATATTAACTGATACAAATTATATCCTTAACCAATTAAGAAGGGAGGGGAATTTGTATCATCCAAGTTTCAAAAAGGCTGTTTAAGCCTTTAAGACATTAAAACAGCTAAAGATCATCAAGTGAATGATAGAAAATTTGAAGTAACTAAAACATTGCACACATACTAGTCAAAACAACATAAATATAGCAACCTGGGATGTTCTCGTATATTCTTCATAGAGCCTATCATACTCTTTACTCTTCTCTTGATACTGAGAGTGGTATTCTTGTAGTTTTTTACCTACTGCATCAATATTATCTTCTTTTACCAACTGATCCTATACAGGTAAAGAAAAAAATAAAGAATGTTAACAATTCTAACATGTGACTTTTTCCATATCTATTTTTTAAAGGAAAATATCACCTCAACCATATATTATTTTTAAACTGTATTTCAACTGTACAAGTTTAAGTCACTGTATTAATATCAAGCACACAAATGTACCAAATCCTTTGATAATATTAAGATCAGCCTTTATATCACATCAAAATGATTAATACTTTAAAAATTAAGAAATGAAGTATAAGTGGGAAACATAAACATAAGTATTTTTATATAAAGGTAACAAGTACATGCAATAAGATATTATAGAAGGGTAGCCACAAAATAAGTTCCAAAAATATCTAAAATCTTAAGTAGGCACTAGGCACAATGACTCATGCCTATAATCCCAACACTTTCAGTGGCCAAAGTGAGAAGACTGCTTGAGCCCAGTTCAAGACTAGCCTGGGCAACATGGCAAGACCCTGAAGTTGTGGTATGCACCTGTGATCCCAGCTACTGGGAGGCTGAGGCAGGAGGACCACTTGAGCCCAGAAGGTCAAGACTGCAGTGAGCCATATTCATGCCACTGCACTTCAGCCTGGGCAACAGAGACTCTGTCTCAAAGTAAATAAATAAATAAATAATAAAATGGCTAGTTTTTTAAAACTGATAACACTGGTAAAAAAAAAATCAAATAAGGTTGTTAAATAATGACTTGCTCAATAGCTAGCAAGGACTTCCATAATCTTACCTGTTGGTATCTGGACACTGGGTACATCAGCTTCACATCAAGCTTGGGATTGTACTGAGCAAGAGATTCATGGTGATAGTGGTTAATGAGCTCCACCACGGAATTAAATGTCAGAGGATCAGAAAAACCATATTTACCATCTCGGTGATAGATCTTTATTAACTTATTATTGCCTCCCTTCCTGTGAACAACAAGACAACAACTGTGGATTTTTTTCCCCCAAATTCAACTGAACTACTGTTTTCATATGGAGATGTGAAAGCTTGGTGTCACATAATAAACAAGTTTTACTACATTAATGTGGCTGGAAGGAGTGAAAAGACATGTTATTGTGTATGTGAACATATATATATATATATATATATATATATATAATTACTTTTGCATTGTTTGGTCCATAAAATACCTTGGTTATTAAAGGTCAACATATCTACACAGAATTCAGTATGAACAAATGTAGCAAAAAAAATCACTTAAGAAAAATAAAACAGAAATAAATTCTATTTTTGTTTATATTCTGAATGAATTTTCAAATTTAAATTCTATCAATATTTTTAGTCAGGAAGAACGCAAAAAATCTCCTAAGGACCCAAAGATATGTGGTTGTATGTCTCTGTAGGGGGAGCAGAAGCCATCTCTATATGAAAGGAATGATAAATATTTGTCACACAATCACCAACACACTCAAGGTTTTGTTGTTAATGCACAAACATAATTGAGCTCCTTAATCTATGATTTATAGCTGCATAATTAATCTAGAACCTTATACTATTTTGTCTTTTACACTTGCTTATAATTCTCAGAAATGACTATTTAGGCCATCACAACATGTAAATGATTCAAGTCATTCAACCGTTTTACAAAGTATAGCTTTTGAAGAGCTATGTATATTAGATGAATGTAATTTCATGCTTGGACAGTTCAGGACACCTTTGTTTACTAAGTCATATCTAAATGGTCCCTTAAAAGATAATTTATAACTAAAGTTTAAAATAGCAATGTTTTGCAAGTCCCATAAGGCATAATCTAAAAGCACAGCAGGCTGATTCATAGCAAAAGGCTGTACCATTCCCATTCAACTCTTCTTACAGCAGCATGCAGATTTATGCCCCTATCTCTCTTTATGCCATGCCATTTTTATAATAAATGAGGCACTGGGATTTGTAAAAGGTCGAACGCAATAAGATTGACCCTATAAGCTGATTAAAACAATGTTTAGGTCAGTTTTTAGATGGATGATAAATAATTTCTATTAAATGTACATGAGGACCATCTAATCATATACAGTTACTACAAATGTGTACACTCACACATACAATAACTGCAAGCTGGCCTCTCTGTTAAAGTTAAAAGGCATTCATTCATTTATAATGATGTGCTGAATATCTATGTGCCAGGAATTACATAACGTGCTACAGATACATGATAAACAAGTCAGATACAGTCCATGCTCTCGTGGAGCTTCCAGTTTAACAGCACAAGGAACATATCTCTGTCTTTCAGTTTATTAAGGAAGATAACAAATTTCTCAAGATAGAACACAAAAATAAACAACTAAATATACCAAATGGTAATATGTCTATTGGGGAAAAAAAAACAAAGCAGAGTAAAGGGAAAGGAGTTCTTGTGGTGGAGGATTGTTTGTATTGCTCAAGGGAAATCTCTGTGTTCAGCTGATATTTGAACAGAGTTCTAAGTGAAGTGAGGGAGCTAGTACAGCAGACATGTATGGGAAGTGTCCTAGAGAGAGGTGCGGTAAGGGCATGCTTGGCATGTTCAAAGAACAGCAAGGAGGCCAGTGATGCTGGGCCTGAACGAGCAAGAGGGAGAGTAATAGGAGACTAGGTAAGAGATGTAAAAGGAGCTTAGATTATGTAATAACAGTCTGTAGATTACTGTAAGGGCTTGAGCTTTTACTGAGTGAGATGGGAGGCACAAAAGGGTTTTCAGTAGAATCATGTAATCTATCTTGCGGTTTAAAAGACTCACTCTAGCTGCTGGGTTGAGAAAAGACTGTTCAAAGGGGGCAGCGGTATAAGTGGAAATATCACTTGTGAAACTTTTATAATAATCTAGGCAAGGCATGATGGCGTCTTGGATGAGGGTAGCAGCAGTACAGGTCATGAGAAATAGTGAGATTCTTAATATATTTTGAAGACAGAGCTGACAGGATTTGCTGATGGCTTGGATACGAATATGACAAAGAGACAAGATAAAGATGATTTCAAGGTTTATATCATAAGCAATCAGAAGAATGGAATTGTCATTTATTGACATGAAGAAAGCTATTTAAAAAGAATGGGTTTAGACCAGGCACAGTGGCTCACACCTGTAATCTCAGCACTTTGGGAGGCCGAGGCGGGCAGATCACTTGAGGTCGAGAGTTTGAGACCAGCCTGACCAACACAGTGAAACCCCATCTCTACTAAAATACAAAAATTAGCCTGGTGTGGTAGAGGGCACCTGGAATTCCAGCTATTCAGGAGCCTGAGGCAGAAGAATCACTTGAACCCAGGAGGCAGAGGTTGCAGTGAGCTGAGATCATGCCACTGCACTCCAGCCAAGGTTACAGAGTAAGACGTCATCTCAAAAAAAAAAAAAAAAGAATATGTTTAAAGGTGGAAAAAATTTGGTTTTAGACACTTTAAGTTTGAGATGCCTACTAAACATTCAAAAGCAGATGATCCAGCAGCCTACTTAAAGAATCTAAAGTTCAGGAGAAAGGTCTGGGCTAAAAACAGAAATTCAGGAGTTGCCAGCCGATAGATGTTATTTGAAGGTGAGTATAGCTGGACAGAAGAAGATGTCCAAGGACTAAGAACTGGGGTATGCCAATGTTTAGTGGTCAGAGACATGGAAGGAAGAACCAGCAAAGGAAACCAAAAGGGAGCAATTAATGAAGTAAGAGGAGAACTAAGAGTGTGATATCCTAAAAACCAACACGTACAAAAGCATTTCAACAAAGAGAAAATTATCAACCAAGTCCAATGATAATTAGGTTTGGCAAAGCAGGTATCACTAAATGAACTGACTAAATGGTTTCAGTGAAATGGTAAGGATAGAACCCTGACTGGAATGGATTCAAGAAAATGAAAGAAGATAAAGAAGACATGCCCATAGGCAAGTGTCTCGAGGAATACTGCTGTAAATAAGGGCAGAGAAATAGAGAAGTAGCTAGAAAGAGATATAGGGTCAATTATTTACTATTCTTAAATGGGAGATAATAGAGTATATTTATATGCTGATGGGGAAGACTCAACAGAGAGACAAAAATTGTTGATCCAAAAAAGAGGACAAGATAGTTCCTAGAGTGATGTCCTTGAGTAGATTAGAGGGATAGGATGGGATCCAGTCCACAAACAGAGAAGCAGACCCTGGACAAGGACACGAACAGTCATCCACTGGAACAGAAAAGCGGCAGACTATTCACATTAATGTGTAAATATGTTGACAGCTGTGGTAACAGGAGCATGAAGGAGTTCTCGTCTGACTGTGTCCACATTATCAGTGATATTAAAAGCAAGTTCTTTAGTTAAAAGTGGGAAGAACGGTTGTCCTTTAAAAGAGAAAAAAAAGAACATGTGAAACTGTCATTTAGGAAAGTGACGGGGAAGCAGGATGAATGCATTGTGGAAATGCAGAAGTTAAGCTGGGCAGTTTTAAAGGTCACTTAAGGTTAGTGGTCATAATTAATGTGAGACCAGTCCATGTGGTCACATCCCTTTCTCCACATTCAGCAGCTCAAGTATAAGCAAGGACTAGGTGCAGAATTGAATTCACGTGTTGGAATTTAGTCTCGTGACTACACTGGAGGAAGAGGAGCAAGTTTAAGAATGTATTCACATAGGTAATTTTAATAATAATGTACTATGGACTCTAAGCAGAGATAAGAGAAGGAACGAAGGAATTGAAGGTCATGTCTTTATCATGCTAGTCCTCCTTGCATCTCAGCACCTAGTCCAATGTCTGGCAGATAGCAGATTCTTAAAGATTTGTTAAGTATCCAGATTTTCTACAACAAATACTATTTACCAATTTAAAAAATAAGAGTTATTGAACTGAAAAATCTCTATTTCCTCACTACCTACTACTCTCTGCATTCTGGTTTCACTCTCATTCCTCTCACTTGAGAGTCACCAATGACTGAACAAATTCAGACTCTGTCCCCTTCCTTTATCCCAGGTCTTCCTTCTCCCTCACTCTCTGCCTTCTTTATTTCATCCTTCCATAACTTTGATGAAATTATTATTTTCTTTCAACCTCTCAAACCACTCTTCCTGTCTCCTCCCTGATCCCAGTTATTTCCTAAAAAAAAAATTTTGCCTTCAGCCTCCACCTTTTTAAATTTTATATATTTTTTCCATACAAAATCCCATTTACTCTATGCATATGGTAGCTTGACTCTTTCTCTGGCCCTATACTCTTTCCTAAGCATTAAACTACATTTCTAGCTACATCCTAGATACATTTCTACCTTGCAGTTCAGGAGCAGCTAGAAGTCAACATTTATCCCCGCGGTGGCTCATGCCCGTAATCCCAGCACTTCGGGAGGCAGAGGCGGGTGGATCACCTGAGGTCAGGAGTTCAAGACCAGCCTGGCCAACATGGTGAAACCCTGCCTCTACCAAAAATACAAAAATTAGCTGGGGGTGGTGACACACAACTGTAATCCCAGCTACTCAGGAGGCTGAGGCAGGAGAATCGCTTGAACCTGGGAGGCAGAGGTTGCAATGAGCCGAGATCGCACCATTACACTCTAGCCTAGGCAACAGAGCAAGACTCTGTCTCAAAAAGAATATACATATATATAGCCGGATCACAATTTCCCTGCCGAAAAAATGCAGTGGTTCTCCCCACCTACCTACAACATTAAATACAAACTCCCAAGTTCTGGAATTCAAGGCCCTCTTAAACATGACCCCTTTCCAACCTCCTATCCCCTGCCACTTCTTCTTTACAAACTTTATCTTTTATCCAAATAGGACTACATCTCACAGAAAGCAGCTATAAAATCTCACCTCCGTATATTTGCTCCTATTGTTATCTATTCCTGCTACTCCCCTCCCACTCTCTCCATGTCCAAACCTATCCCCTTCTTCAAGATATTCTGCAAATATGATCTCTTCCATGAAGGTCAGTTTTCTACATTCTTTTAACAAAGATATCTCTTTTCTTCCTTTC